ATTTGGAATTTCTTTTATGAAACCTATTTACGAGAGTTAAGACAATTCCCCACTCAACGGGGTCGAGAAACAAGCTTACAACCAGTAGTGGATCAAATTGTCTTTCTAAAGAAAAATTCTTTCAAAGAAAACGCTCCTCTCAATAGATTGAAATGGAGACTCGCCAGAATAGTCCATCTTCATGAAAGTCCAAGGGATGGTAGAATTAGATCAGTGGATGTGGAGACTACGCGAACCAACCCTGACGGGTCCTGTACAAAATTCTTATTGAAGAATCAGTCAGTTCAAAATCTTGTGCCCCTAGAAGCAGACTCTGAGACGACAGAAAAGAAATTCCTAACCAGCTTTGGAAGCTTTGTGAGCAAGAAACCATGAGAACAAGCAATTGAGGTTCAAACAACTTTTTATTAAACAAAAACTGTGCAAAAACATGATTACAAAAACCCTTCAACCAAAAGAGAGACCCTTCACAAAACACAATTCCGCCGAAAAATGGGAGAATTCTTTAAACATAACGAGAAAGAGATGCCATCTCCGCAAACTCTAGACCTCCCTCTCCCACAACCCAGGCCTTGTCCCCAACTTTCGATATTATGAACTTTCTTTGTGAGGAATTTCCAATCCGAACCGACGATCCAACGACGAAACGTCCAGACACAGCTCTCTTGGGGTCCGAACACAAAAAGTCCGCAGAAAAGACCTCCAGGAACATCTTCTGACTTAAGATCTCGTCCATCCTGAAAGGGAGAAAAGAAAACATTGTAAATTCTGATTTTAAAAACCATCAGTTTTTCGAAAGACTTACTGTCTGAAGGGATCACCACCCGATCCAATAACCGCCGGGTTGATATGAAAAGGTCCGTTCCCAAAGCACTCCTTGGGGCCATTATCCGTAGAATGATGATGAGGTAATCCGGGGGGGATCCCTGGAGCAGTTTTTCCACTGTCCAGCCAGTATGGGCAGCTACCAGCACAAGCAAATGCCCCCCAAGTCTTGTTCAGACACTGGGTCCACTCCAACCCGAAGCAAATAGCCGCAGCATGAAGCTGGGCAAAGAACAGATAGGCCCGAGTATGTATGTGGCCAAAAGACAACTTTGTACGATCCGACCTATCAAAAGCTGCGAGATGCCTGACCGGAGTCGGTACTGCCCACCATCCCTTCCCGCTTGGGACCCCTTGCCTTTTTCCGATTTTAGTCTTCAAGCCATTATACAAGGCCATCTGAAAAGCATGACCTGCGCTTTCGCGCCCTCTTTGACTCAAAATTGGAACCCCATTATTTCTGAGAGGAATTAGAGGAACCCCTTGCAAGTCCAAATCCATCTTTTCCGTCAAATATGTATTACTCCCTTGCGCTAATGCAGGGGGAGCAGAAGCCCCCAAAGCCAGGACTGGCGCATCAAAAGCTCGGGAAAGTTCATCAAAATACCCATAGAGGGCCTGCAGAAAATGACCGAAATTGGGGTAATGACGAATGACGTCAGGTTCAGTTAAATTCTTTAAATCATTGGTCCCCACTCTAACAAAAACATGGGTAAAACGAAAAGAAGAACTCAAATGCAGATCCGCGTACACTCTGTTACGCATTTCCTCAGGAGAGACTACTTGTCCCTCTCCAACCAAAGCAGACCATCCACTTAACGAGTACTGAAAAGAAAATGAAAGAAAATTCATTGAAATCTCATGTTCTAAAAGGGAGAACTTGCAAAATAAAGTTTTATTCCTCTACCTGATACAATTCTATGCCCCTCCCAGCAAGAAGATGCTCGAAATCAAAAACCGCTCTGGTTGTGGCCTTTTCGGGTCGGATGTTATCACAAAACGTATTTCGCCCTTCAGCCAATCTCCAAGGAACAGTTAAGGAAGTACCAAGAAGCAAAACACAAGGGCCTTTTCCTGAATTCTTCAATTTTGCCCCTTGATGACGATTTTGGGGCGAACCATATGTGTAATCTTGTACAACGCAACCCGGAACCGGAAGAAAATGCTTTGAATCTTTGTCCAACTTCTGTATGTCCAAACCAAAGCGCTTGAAAACGTTGCGCTTGTACCCAATCGGATCCTCTGGCTCGAATAGACTTCCTCTGAAGGGATGATAGCAATGCCCTGAGCAAATCAGAATTTGAAAAAAGGGGTTACAATAAGATTTTCAAATCAAAAATTTCGTTTACTTTAATAAATCTTACAAGGATTCAGCAAGTCCAGAAGCTCCTCCTCCATATCGAAGCCAAAAGCCCCTTGCTTTACTTCTCTCTTTACCGAAGCTGATGCAATTTGAAGAGGCACTGAACCCTTTGTTTTCACTCTCTTTGATAAGGCATCTAAAGCCTGGGAGTCCTCAACAATACCACTCTCCTCATTTGTACGGGGACGTTTAGCAGCGGCCAGATTTTCAGGGGTCTTTAACTGTTTCAGCAAATTAATGATTGATTGCTTATTACGACGTTGAGTTGCTGCAAACTTAGCATCTTCCATCCAGTACTCTTGAATGGTCTCCACGCTTCCCAAAAAGACCTTAGTCTCACCAACCGTCCACACCTGAAGATCCCCAGTTGTAAGCTCTAAAATAAAAGGGGAAATCAGAAGAAATAAAATCAATGCTGACTGAAAACTAATGTTAAAATGAAAAATTTAGTATTCTTACTGAGTGTACTGGAGGTGAAACCTATCCCCTCAGCTAGATAAACCTGGGGGATGCCACTTAGAGCGCTTTGAAAAACAGCCGAATGACGCTCCATCTGACGTCTCATAGAAGCCTCCACTTGAAGAAGTTGGCTCTCCTCCCTTTCATGTAACTCCGCTATAACTTCCCCACATTCTTCTAAATTCTCCCGCTTCTCAGAAATCTCTTTCTCCTCTAAAACGTATTTTTGCAAAATACGTTTTTGAGAAGAAATGTGCTCAGCATACTGTTGAGACTCCTTTTGAAGACGGTCGAGTTCAGCTTTAAGACCATCCCTCCCAATTTGAGCATTTTTCTCATTTTCCAGAAATGGAAGAAAATCCCCAATGCGTTGAAGACTGGCATCAGAAAGCGAAGCAAGTTTTTTGGCCAGGTCCACAGCAGACTTTGGCAAAGTAACCGTAAAAGTATCAGCAGAAGAACAGCGCTCCAGGGGGACCTCTTGAGAAAGTTAAAAATCCCCAATGCGTTGAAGACTAGCATCAGAAAGTGAAGCAAGTTTTTTGGCCAGGTCCACAGCAGACCTTGGCAAAGTAACCGTGAAAGAATCAGCAGAAGAACAGTGATCCAGGGGGACCTCTTGAGAGAGTTTGACGTCATCTTTAACCTCTCCCAACTCTGAAAAGGGTTGTCAATTTAAAAAGAGTAAAATTCTTTATTCTTGCGACGTTCAAACCACTTGTTCTCTAAAACTCACCCATAGCCTCTCCTTCCTCATCTGAATCTTCAATTAATATAGGAAGATCCGATTCCATCTCCTTCTCCCCTTGAGCCTCACTGTAGGACTCATTCGATTCTGCCACATCAAAGGGCTCCACAACCTTTTCCGAATCCGACATTCTCTTAATTTTCTTTTCAACCGTTCTAACGAAACCAAAAGGTTCAATAGCAAAGTCTCCTCAAAAGTAAGGGAGTGAGCTTCTCTGTTAACGAAAAAGAGAAAAATTTTCTCATTTTAAACAATACCCAATCTCAGCACAAGAAATTAGAAAACACCAGAATCAAAACAAAACTGATGAACGAAAAGAAACTATCAAGATCCCAGTCGGAAATCAAAGGTCAGTCTTCGAACCTCTAATCTCTACCTGAGATTTTAACCGTCCCTTTCAACACTTACAAAATGACAAATTTAGAAAACTTGCTAATTTTTTGCAAAAAACCCTTACAAGCCGACCTACGGCATCAAGCATGACCGTCATGGGGGATATCCCTTTCTGAAAAAACCAAGGATAACATCCTGTAGTCATATTAACGACCACAACACCCTTCACTTTACGCAGCCCGGAACCAGAAGAAAATGCTTTACTCATCTGAATCTTCAATTAATATAGGAAGGTCCGATTCCATTTCCTTCTCCCCTTGAGCCTCACTGTAGGACTCATTCGATTCTGCCACATCAAAGGGCTCCACAACCTTTTCCGAATCCGACATTTTTTCTCAATTTTCTTTTTCAACCGTTTTAACAAATCCAAAAGATTTAATGGGAAAGTCTCCTCAAAGGGTAAAGGAACGAGCTTCTCTGTCAACGAAAAAGAGAAAAGTTTTCTCATTTTTAAACAATACCCAATCTCAGCTCAAGAAAATTGGAAAAACACCTGAATCAGAACAGAACTGATGAACGAAAAGAAACTATCAAGATCCCAGTCGGAAATCAAAGGTCAGTCTTCGAGCCTCTAATCTCTGCCTGAGATTTTAATCGTCCCTTTCAACACTCACAAAACCAAGAAATTTAGAAAATTTTTGCAAAAAACTTCCTACTAGCCGACTCACGGCATCAAGTATGACCGTCATGGGGGATATCCCTTTCTGAAAAAACTAAGGATAACATCCCTTGACGACCAAGTAGATAACCGAATAAAAAGCCAAAAGGAGGATCCGATAACCCCCCATCACCTTCCTTCGCCAAAATTGGCTCGGTACATGATCGGTGAGGACAAGACTTGATTTTGAACAAACCTCAGGTCCTGTGCCCCCTCGACCATACACAAAACCAATGAAAAAGGGATATTCTCTGCCAATTTTGGCTCATCTTGGACCTATAAGTAAAGGTACGAAAATCCTTTTCGAAGCTCCAAAACCGAAGATAGCAGCGGAAGAGACGGTTACCCAAGAGAACCAAAAATAGGGTACCCGTTTCCGCAGCCCTCCTCAAATTCAGAGACAATTACTGCCAAGTTTGGCATACTTAGAGTTGAAAAAACAAAGGCACAAGAGCTTTCGCCGAACATTCAATACTAAGGACGGTCGCGGTAGAGGAGGTTACCCAAGAAAAACAAAACAAGGGTACCCTTCCCCGCAACCCTCCCCAATATCGAACACATCCACTGCCAACGTTGGCACTCTTTAAGAATCCAAAATGGAAAACCTCAAAAGGCTTTCGCCGAATCTTCAATACTAAAGATAGCCGCGGTGGCGGCGGTTACCCGAGAGAATCAAAACTAGGGTACCCGGCCCCGCAGCCCTCTTCAATACCGAATGCAGTTACAAGAAACCCCGACGATATCTCCGGCAAAAATTTCACGAACGACGTGAAGTGGGACTCAGTCTAGAACAGCTCCGAGATCCCACCGTACGACGAACATGCATTTTTCCGACGAAAAGGAAAATCGCCAGAATTGGCACATTAACAAGAATATATTCAAACACTTCTTTACCACCTCTTGAGGCTCTCACATGACAGGCGTGGTGGAGATCCTAGACTAAAACCACAAGGATACTCCCCTCGACCGCCAAGCAAGAAAAACCAAATGTGGTCTAAAGAAAAGAAGTCGGAAGACCTCTTCCAATTCCGACGATTCACAAAAAGGAGATTTTCAGCAACTCAACTACTGATCGGAAGAAACCAAGTACAATCTCCCGACCGGTAACTGAGTTTCCAAACACCTTCCTTACGAAAACTTCTTCCCCTTCCGCCGGCTTCGGCAAATGGAAAAGGAAACACTAGAAAAGAGGTCTTACTCAACTGCAGGTCAAAAACCAACTGAGGAAAGAGGTTTAAAATGGCGGACCACCCCAAAAGGGGGACCTCTGATTCAGCCCTGAATCAACCGGTTCTTAGACCCTCTGAAGGATCGAAGAAGCTCAGATTGACGAAGAGCCGAACGAGAGGAAGCGACATCTTGTCCCTTCGGACACTTAACACGAAAAGATAACTTAAAGGCGACTCTTGAGCAAAAATCTTTTCTTACAAAGATTAAACCAAAAGGAAAAACTAGTCCGACCAAAAGTACCTGGTCTCGAGAATCTAACCAATTATTTTCTCGCTGACGGTGATACACTCAAAGTACCGAGTGGAAAAAACTTCCGCCAACTATGGCACACTCGAAGCACCGAGACGAACCACCGAGAAACGAGTCGGGCAGGATTAGCTACCCTGCCCTCGGACTTGTTAACAAAACTTGAAAACTTTTCAAAAACCTAAAACAACTCTTTCCTTTCAAGCACTTCAAAACCAAACAGAAGTTCAAGCCTCATCCGGGAGCATCACCGAAATCAAGAACCTGACGACAAAATCAACGTCCGATTCCCGACACAAAAAACCTAAAACAACTCTTTCCTTTCAAGCACTTCAAACTCAAACAGAAGTTCAAGCCTCATCCGGGAGCATCACCGAAATCAAGAACCTGACGACAAAATCAACGTCCGATTCCCGACACCAGGAGCTCCCGCACTCGGCGATCCTCGTTTGAACACTGTGACTTTTCGCGAAAATTCGCACCCTTTTATTTTGACTGCGTCTTGAATTAACCCCTTCCGGAAAAGAGGGTCATTCAAGGACGCGGGGGGATTTTTGTGCGGAATTTAGACCCTCGTTTGAACACTGTGACTTTTCGCGAAAATTCGCACCCTTTTATTTTGACTGCGTCTTGAATTAACCCCTTCCGGAAAAGAGGGTCATTCAAGGACGCGGGGGGATTTTTGTGCGGAATTTCTCGCGGTCCCTCTATGAAACAAGGCGCCAAATTGGAGCCGAAACTGTAATCCAATCGGCGCATCACCGGGACGCGCCGACACAAACGAAAGTTAAAACCGATTCCCGCGAAAGGGGTATCCTAAAATAAAACGCGAAACGAATTGGCGAAACAAAGACCCCGAGGCCAAAAAAGGAGAGTGATCCCCGGAAACGGGATAAAACAAATTGCCGAAAAAGTCGGCGCCACCCTTTTTGACAGGGGGACATCGACTCCTCTAAAAACGTGGGGTCATTCGACCCCTCAAGACTTCACGAAAACACAAAACCAGCTGTCAAGAAGAAGACAAAAAATCTCGTCTCTTGTATCGTAAAACAATTTGTCTCCCGAATTCAGGACGTTTTAAACTGTCAAAACTCGAGCTTCGAAATGCTCAACTGGCAACTTTACAATCTTAACAGCCTTTTGCAAACTGTCAAGACCCATGTTTTCCAGCAGAAAACTAATTTAACAAACGGTCGGAAGATCGTAAAAACAACCACCCGGTTTTCGGGAAAATACACATTTATGAAACCTTTACGAAAAACAGCAGATGCTACCACCTGGTGTTTTCAAATCTGCGCAAACAAGGAAAACCCGCCAAAATTGGCGCAAGAATCATATATAAACCCCAGAAAATTGGGTAACAGACACAGTCAAGTTTAGAAGGTCGAACTGCTGAAGTTGTGTTCAAAAATTTTGGAATTCGGGACTTAGAAAATTCTATACAATCAGGGCGATTTCGAAACTTCGCGAAATCAAAAGGTGTCGGTACTTTGCTTTTACCTTCGGTCCTTCAACCCTCTTGTTTGTTAAGAACGGGATTCGTTTTCTTAATTTATCTCCTCAATGTTGTGCGGAAATACCTTGCCAAAATCGGGACCTGACCCAGTCACGAAATTCTAATTGTAAAGGAAATCAAGTCCACTTCTGGACTACTTGAAATCCTACGACTCCGAATATTGTTCATTGTTGCAAATCCTGTACATCTGAGTGTGTATACCTTGTATTCTGTGCAAACCGTGTGTATAATTTAACAACAAGTGTGTGTGTGTGTGTGTGTCAAAGAAAGGTCTGCGCTAGTAGGGAGAAATCCCGGTCGGTTCGCGCCTGGCCAATTGCCGTGTTCTGATTTATTTATCCTCCATTTGAAAACTCTAAATTCTGAAAACTCTGCTAAAAGCTACAATCAAGGTGTAAGGCTTGATTAATCTAATTCTTACTTATAAAACCTTACAAAAGTCACCGATCGGTTTGCTCCTATTGCTATTGAAGATATAGTATTTGAAGCCCTGAATTCAAATTTGGTATCGATTTAACAAAAGAATCCGTTAACCTGATTTCCTTGTTTATGCGTGTATCGGGTAAAGAAAAGCGTGCGATGTTCTGTTGAAAATTCGAAAATTATTTCGATATACGCGTATTTTTAAGAGTGTGAAATCATTTAGGCATTTATTCGACTCTTTGGTTGTTTTGAAAATAGTTGAAACCGTTTTTGTAAATATTGTTATTTTGTCTGTAATTTAATGATGTCACACTTCTGTGCCTGATCAATTTGAATTTGTTGCTGAATCGAAGACCATTTTGAAAATCTCTCATGTTCTTCATTGAAAGTTCAAAGTAGAAGAAGAAATTTCGAAACTTATTTTGGAAGAAAATGTAGCATTCCGGGAACGTTTGCATGGAATATTTTTCGGTTTTCCTAATTTTTTTCTGCCGAAGTCGTCTTTCTTTGCCAAAGAAAAATGAGGGTTCGAATGGGTACTTCTCAAATCCAGAGATCAACAAATAAATGCCCTTTTTATGTGTTAATCTTTACGGCGCTCAATTATTATTTAAATTTTTTTTACTTTCAGCGCATTTCAGTGACAGTTGAAAAACGGTTGCTGTTGTATGATAGACACCAGCAATGCATTAGAATTAGACAATGCGTTATAAACTTTTAGAATAAAAATGAGTTTTCAAATGATACGAACAGTAAAAGTCTTTCGTCTGTTTATCGCAAGATTCCAGCCCTTGAAAATGTGCTGTAAAAACCATGAAACTGAAATGTTGGGTTGCCAGAAGTTGTTTCGCAGATCGCGGGAGATTTGTTTTTGTGAATATACCGTATTTCACTGTAATTAACGTTACCGTTTTCTATTTCGCACTCCATTTGTTTCGGTCATCCTGTTTACTGCGGTGCTTGCATAAACCATCAGTTGAATAAGGCCTGGACTGCTTAAGAGAGCAGAGAAAAAAAAGAGGTGTACTGAGGCTGAAAGCAGTCTCTTTATGGGATGCAAGCATGTATAGGCTGTTGGAGGTGTACTATATCCTTCCACCGCGGACCGAGAACCCGGCTTTTCGGGATATTAACCGCCTACTGCAACCTTTTCTTCCATTCCAGAGCCCTTTGACAGGGCCTCGTGGATGCTGGTCGGTCTGGTGGCAATCCAGGTCTCCGCCTTGGCGCTGTTCGTGTTTGAGTGGCTCAGCCCG